TTGTAAATGTATTATTTTTTGAGACTGGTCTGGCTCCTCAGCTCTTTTGCAGAAATAGACATACCCTTAAAAAATTTTTATGACAAAACATAGCAAAACTTTATATATATATATATATATATATATATATATATATATATATATATATATATATATATATATATATATATATCAAACCTTAAAGAAATAAAAAGGTAAATAAAAACCAAGAATAAAGCTAAATGAAACCAAAATAAAACTTAAAAATAAAACAAAAAAATTACTTAACCTGTTTATATTATTTACTCTGGTGCAGATATAATGGTATTGGATTGACAAAATGATAACCCAAGGGTTAGTTCACCCAAAACTTAAAATTCTGTCATAATTTACTGAGCCATAGCTTGTTACAACAAACCTATTCAAGTTTGTTTCCATGTTGAAAACAAAGGAAGATATTTTGAAAAATGTTGGAAGCTGGTATCCATTGACTTCCATGGTGTTTATTTCTTACCATGGATGCAAAATGGCTACTGGTATCCAGCATTCTACAAAATATCTTGTAAATTTTTTTTTACTGCATTTTCATTTTGGGGTGAACTGTGTTTTAACACCGGGTATAAACAGGATCAGTTTGTAGTGCGAAAAGCACTGTACAACTGCATGTTTTACATAAAATGGGTCAATAAATACCAGATATACTTCTATTCTAATGTCAGCGAGCGTAAGTGTGCAACATATAGCAGCTTTTTTGGCCAGTTTCTGCCCACTTAGACAGGAAAAGAGTGTCTGACTGAAATATAAAACAACCAGCCACAAGCTGCTTTTATTGTTGTTTTTGGAAAATATGCAGGGTAAATCTGACATACAGGACTGAACACGGAAGTAAATGAAATACTAAAGAATAAAGAAACAGAAGTAAACATCAAAATTTCTAAAACTTACCATGAAAATAAAATATGTACACACTAATGCTAGTTCAGAATATTAAAAATAAAACCTGTATCACACTGTAAAGAATCCAAAAGCCAAGAACATGGAACACAGAAGGAGATAATTTGCAGAATGGCCAGTTTGCTGTTTTTATACAATACCATTGACTATTGATGGATAATATTCTTTCAAAAAAAAAAAAAAAAAAAAAAACTCCCAAACTACAATCCTTTTCAACTTATAATGAACAACAATTTAGCCTGTTCCAGTGGTGTTAATGTACCTAAAACTATTGAGAAATTTGAATTTATTGAAATAAAGCTGAAATAATTCAAAACATTTTCAAAGGAAATCAATTTATAAAATAAATAAATATATAAACAAATAAAACATTAATAAATAATAAAAATAACAAATAAAAAATGATGAAAAGTATAAAAGATTATGCAAAATGACTTAAAAGGCACAATATTAAGCTGGCAGAAAAATGTAAGTTCTTTGCATTTAAGCATTGTTTTTATTAGCACAGAAAACACTTACGAAATTTCTACATTATAATATACAGAATAAGCTGTAGGGGAATTTGTTCAGTTTTTCTGAATATTTACGCTACTTAATAAGTAGCTCAAATAAATAAATGAATTAAAATGTAAATAGTATAAAAGCCACAAAGCTTGGCAGTGACTTTTGCACACACATATTTTTATTTCTCAGAAATTGTAAAATTGTAGTTCAGAATGTCTAAAGAGATAATGGTGACATGGCTCAGTCTTGCCTACTTGCCATTTGTAGATGATGCTGAAATTGAGTGAAATGCCTGGCTGTCTGCTTGGGACAGATAGATAGTTGTCTGTCCTCAAGCAGACATCCGAGTGTGTTCAAGTTTGTTTGGGCGTTGTGTAGAGACTGGCGTCTCAAACATGGTTTCTCATTTCCCCTGCTGGTGATCAAATCTGCGATTAACGCCACAGACGAGACGGTGGCCAGAGAACAGCCTGATACAAGCTCACAGAAATCCTTCCCACTATAATGGAAGAAGTGAAGGTTTTATGGTAGATGTTATGTCATCATAGTCTGGTAGATCAGAGACCCGTAAAACTCCATCACAACATCCCTGACCTCCTTTATTCTTCAGAGCTGCCATCTGAACGTCTTCCCTCCTATGGATATGAATTTTTTAGTGTACCTGTACTATTAACAAAGGCTTTTTTTTTTTTTTAAATCTTTATTTTAGAGTGGTGTTGATGGAGTCCTCAAAGGATGTAAATTAACATTAATTGCCAATAACAGAATTATTTACTCATGATGGATTAAACTTGTATGATTTATTTTTGGAACATTATAGTAGATATTTGTCAATTTGTCCAACTTGCTTTTTTCCAGAAATATAATTTCACAATAAATTTTATTAAAAAGCAAAACAAAAGGTTTTGTTATATTTAATTCTTTGTTTTGTTTTATTTTATTCTTCAAGTGTTTTTTTTTTCTGTTTACGATATCTATTTCTAGAAAAGAGCTGGTTGAACAATTTGCTAAACTTCTACTTTTGTGATCCAAAAATAAATCACAAGTTTGTAACAACGCGAGGTTGAGTAAAAAATTTTGTTATTGGAAAAATAATGTTAACTTCCTTTAAAAATTGCACTAACGTGATAAAAAAAAGATTGAAAAAAATTAAACTCATCGTAATTTTCTTTTTTTTTCTTTTTTTCAAATTTAAACTAACATTAGGTTAAGTAAATAATTCTGTTATTGACAAATTAATGTAAATTAACTAACTTTAAGGATCAGATCAACATCACTGAAAGATCAAATAAAGATTGAAAAAAAAATGATGTGGACTTTTTCACAACAAAAAATAATTCTTACAATAAGTTTTATTTAGCACATTATTTACATTAAGTTAATATATATAGCCTATATTATGTTTAATATAGAGCTCACAATAGAAGTTTAGTAATAATTGAGGCCTTGAGATTAAGAACCATACAGTATAGGTCCATATTTTTTACATTTTCAGTAATGATTTTTTATTTTTTATTTGGATTGATTGGATTGATGAGATGATATTATAGCTTTTTATTTTACTTGAAGATAGACAACAAAAGCTTCTCAATTCTAAGGAGTTAACATTTCTCTGTGTCAGTATTAAAAATGTAAGGTTATTGTGATTTATACTTTATCTCTCAAATGCAGAACTCCAATTCATCACATCACTTTAAACCACTTTAAAGATCTGATTTCTTTATCTTAGTTTAATGCAGTAACAAAAACTTCAGGTTAATATTAGGCTTTTCTTTCCAGTTTTATTATTATTATTATTATTATTATTATTATTATTATTATTATTATTATTATTTAAACACAGAAAATACAGTATGAACAATGTACAATACATAGACCTTCTTATAGTACAGGTAGGTCAGAAAACCATGTGTGTGTATAGACTATCCTGTCACAAAATTAAGTGAAAATTAAACACGACGGTCGGCAATAGTTTGCTTGCAGTGTTTACATGTTTATACTCGGAGAGCAGCATTTACAGCAGATCTTTCAGTCCATTATATTGTAGTGATATTAATGTAAACTAAGTAACTTAGAAATCATTTTGACTAAGGTCTGTCTTCAATCACTGAAAGAGTACTGCTGACAATACGAACTATAACTTTGCCATCTGAAAGAACAAAGAAAGAGCACTGATCGCACACACTTACCAAATCTGTAGAGACAGGACTATTAACACATACTGGAGCTGCGTCTTTTTTTAACGGAGACGAGCAGCAAATTCGGATTTCACAATTTCCAGATGTGAAAAGCTCTTGAGTAAAAAATGTTCCGTACAAACGTATTTCTGCCGCGTGTCGCATGCACTGATCCACACGTGAGTCCGTTGTACTCTCATAGCTGGAAAATGAAAACAAAACCTTCACTGCAGCACATTATAAAAGCAACACTGACGACCCGTATCTCCAAACCATTCTTATTCTTTTCCCACTTCTTTTGGCAACACAACGTGTCGTCTCTCTGCCGTCTGAACACTGTTTCAGGTACAGTCTTCGAAGCTAGCATGCATATTAATGAAGTTGCAACGCATACACTATAGAGCGCGCTGATTGGTTTGAACCAAGCCTTACTGACAAATAAATGCAGCACATTTAGATACGTAATACAGTTCTCCCAAGTACAGACGTCCAGTCTACATGCTGGAATACACGCTAAGATCTCATGGCCGTGACGCAGCTTCAAAAATTCGTTTCAAACCGGAAGTACGAATTTGCTCGAAATAACACGAAAACAACCTTTTTCACTTTTTTATGTAATGTATGTGTCCTTATAGTGTTTTTAGCAGGGTAGGACACATATACAACTGTCAACAGCTCAAAAAAAGTGTTTTGGTGTTTAGTGACCATTTAATATTTGTTATACATTATCTAATGCAACCTTATTCTAAAGTGTTACTGTTTTATGAATCTCATTATTTACAATATGTTAATGTATAGCTTCTATTATGTTCAATATAGCAGTGGTTGCCAATGTGGGCGTCGCAGGACAATGACAGGGGCTCTTTAACGCCAACTTCAACCAAATGAGACCATCTGATTGACTTGTAGAGCGACCAACCACAGTTTGTGTACATGTTATTTAGGAACAGAATCTGATATTGGTTCGAAAATAAAACAAACCCTGTGTGCTCTGAATAACGTTTTTGAAATCCAGCCAATTAGATTTTCACTTGGCATTTTAGCCAGCTGTAGCTCTCTCTGTTTGCGTGTAATATCCCTCAGACGCTCTGAAAACGTTCCATAGGCGTGCCGTCTGAGGTTTAGACTAGTCGAAGAGTAACTGGGTAGAAATGTTACACATGCGCTATAAAGTTTTGAAATATCTGTTTATCTTAGCGCTCCACCCAAAGCCAAGTTGTAATTGTTATTTTCCTGCATGTGGTGCATTGCATCAACCTGCATATGCTTAATTATTCAGTCTGTCTGGTATGCGATGCCTTCAGTTGTATAATAGTGCCGCATTGTGTCATAACAATCCTAACCATCCACCCTTGAAGACACATTTCTCTCTTTGTTTTACTGCAGAGTGCAAGTTCCACTGCACCAATGGCAGATGTCTGAAACTTCTCTCGCTGATTTGCAATCATCTGAATGAATGTGGAGACAACAGTGATGAGGAACACTGTCCCGCTGCTGTACCTCCACCTCCAGACACCATCCAGAGTAAGTCCATCCACCCACCTGCGGCTCAACACCACATCTGCATCTCTGGCAGCTGATATTGCATCAGTGTTAGTGAAGATGCTGTGGAAAGACACTCACAATTTAATGATTGGCTACCATCAAGATCACCTTTAGAACTCGAAGTTGTCATTGGCGTATTTTTTACATAGCTTTTGGGAATGCTTGATTCTGATTGGTTAGTTAGTACACTGCACGGTATGTTATTCTCAGATAACAACCGATTAAACTAAAAATACCTTCTCATCCAAATCATCTTGACCATTAGTCATTATAAATAACAACCGGATGGATGTAGGTTATACTTTAGTTAACTATTTGATTCATATTCAAATCTTCTTTCCTGCAATGGCTTTAACTAAACCAGAGAAAGACGCTTGTGGCTCTTGTCATGAATCTCAATTTATCAGTGCTTTTGTACAAATAATGTTTATTTGAGGTTTTAGACATTTAAAAACACGTAAGCACTAGCAAAACAGCATTTGTGGTTTGTAAAATACACACGGATGTCTACGGAGAGGGTAATAATAATTATTTATACATAATCAGACGATGTGCTTCTTTCACATCAGATACACACTGTTTAGGTTACTAGAATGTTTACAGTATTTTTTCCCAGTTAAACAGCCACTTACTTGCATGTATTTTGGGAGAAGTTGATGAATTAATATGTTGTTAAACCAGCAGCTCTTCACTGCAACTCAGACCAGAGGTGTGGACTCGAGTCATGTGACTTGGACTCGAGTCAGACTCGAGTCATGAATTTGATGACTTCAGACTCGACTTGACAAAATATAAAAAGACTTGCAACTCGACTTGGACTTGAACATAAATGACTCGGACTTTCACTTGGACTTGCGCCTATTGACTTGTAAAGACTTGCTACTTTCTATAAAAAGCCCAAAGATAAAAAGTATGTTGACACAGAACGCTCTATCTCTGCCTGTGTGTGCGTGTGTGACAGAGAGCATGCACGCATACTTTCGACCACTAGCGCTTTGTGGCGCACTTCCGTGTTTTTGCACCAGCGGGAAATTTGAAGATGCCATTTTCATTCTGACTCGGAGAGTGAAATAAACACATCCGCGATCTGCTCCTTTTGTTTTAATCAGCGGATTTACAACATCTGTCAAAGGTAAGAGACTTTACTACTCGCAATGTGTTACTGTTGTGCAAAAGCATTGTTTTACTGTTGTGTATAAGTCAATGAACTTCAGTTTTTTTTAAACCAAATTTACCCTCTCGTGATTTATATCATATAATTATGAATGAACATGGCTGTAATTTATGTTTTTGCACTTGGTCGTTTGTGTCAATGCGCATATTATGTTTTATCTTTGTGTTTTGCCCATCCTCTGACAGTATTTTCTAACTATTTAATTAGTAGTAACATTAATTACATGCCATAATAACTAGATATATAATTTATTTTTAAAGCTCTTAAAACTGTAAAAAAAAAAAAAAGTTTTTTGTTATTTTCTGGTGACATTTTGCAATAAGGTTTCTTTAGTTAATCTATGTACTAACATGAACTAATAATGAACTATACTTCTAAACCTTTATTAATTATACTTTAACATTTACTATTGCATTATTACAATTTAAAGTTATGCTTGTTAACATTAATGTTAATGCTCTGTGATTTAACAAGAATTAACCAATAATTTTATTTCCATTAATTAAAGCATAAAATAATGAATACTGTAATGAACTGCACTGCATTGTTTGTTCACATTAGTACATGCATAAACTTAATTAATTAATACAACCTTATTGTAAAGTGTTATATTTTTCATATTTTGGATTAATACTATTAATTTTATTTAGTATTTAAAACCTTAAAGGTATTTTTATTATTGTTGATGTTATGCCTCTTAGCAATATTTTAGTCCTCTATATGGTTTTTAATTAAATTTTTTATTGCGAGATTGTAGTGTAATGCATCTATATTGTTGAATTTCTGTTTGTTTGTTTTTCTGTATTTCCCCCTCTATATTTAAGGATTATCTACTATTTTTAAAGTACTTAAAACCAACCTCTAATAAAAAAAACAATTAACAATCACATTTTGTTTCATGAGTGTCTTTGTTCCTGTTTTGTAGGACTCTTATTATAACAGATTTCATTTGGAAACACTTGACTGATCATTCAATTAAAGTTTAACCTTTATTATTCCATCACTCAATCAGATCATTTAATTGTGAGTTGAATTACTCTATTTGTAATTGTTTTTAAATAAACTAAAAATGAAGACTTGTTTTATTCAGTTTGTTGAATGTGAACTTCTCTACTTTACATATTAAAAGATATTTAAAACCACTATGAATGTATTTAAACTAATATTTAAATTTATATAACTGTTTCACTGTGGGTATTTCTATTTTAATTTATTTATCACATTTATTGGCTATTCAAACATGAAAACAAGTTTTAGATACTTTGTGGCTCTAATAAATGGTTAAACATAGCAATATCCCTGCAGAAAAATCCAGCTTAAACCAGCCTAGGCTGGTAAACTGGTTTAAGCTGGTCGACCAGGCTGGTTTTAGAGGGGTTTTGGTCATTTCCAGGCTGGTTTCCAGCCATTTCCAGCCTGGTCTTAGCTGGTCAGGCTGAAAAATGACCAGCTTAATCCAGCTAAAACCAGCTTGACCAGCCTGGTTTAAGCTGGACATAGCTGGTTTTGGCTGGGCTCTCAGCCTGGCTAGGCTGGTCAAGCTGATTTTAGCTGGTCATCTCCCAGCCTGACCAGCTAAGACCAGGCTGGAAATGGCTGGAAACCAGCCTGGAAGTGGCCAAAACCCCTCTAAAACCAGCCTGGTCGACCAGCTAAAACCAGCCAACCAGCCTAGGCTGGTTTAAGCTGTTTTTTCAGTAGGGGGATTCGAACCCCGTTCTTTATGAAAAGAAAGAAAAATCTGATTGGCTCTGACATTACTTTCACCAGTGGGCAGGTACTTCAATCTGATTTGCTGGTCTCTCACGCGCGTATTCAGTCTCTCTGCGTTTGCTTGAGTTTTGTCCACACTGGCGCTTCATAATTTTCCTGCTTTTGCTCTCCAGAGATCCTCCTGATAAATTGATTATTCCAGAATGTTGATATGGTTTATATATTGCTACACTATTTAGTAACAATACATGAAAAACTATGAGGTTAAGGTAAATTCTATAATAAATACTAGTGTTTTTGAGAGTTAGGTATACTGCCTATGTTTAAGCCTAGTATTATTTACAAGTTGTTAATGAATGCTTCAGCATACTGTAGTATTAAGAATAATGAACTAATAAAATGAAATACAGAGTGTAGTTTTACTACAGTAAAGTGTGGTGAATTGTAGTATAATATACCCTATATTGTAAAAAAACTACAGCACTGGGTAATGTGTTTATATTACACTTGTGTTACCATAGCAACTATAATATTACCCCAACAGATTAATTAAAGTACTTTACTATAGTACTGTTCAAAACCCTGTCCATGCCAATAGATGTGTTCAGGGGCCCTGTGGAACAGCTTTTCCTCAAAATGAAGAGGATGACATGGAAAATGTCCTCCACAATCTCATCAATAATGTGGAAGACAGCAGAGACTAGTTCACTTTATTTTAGTTGCCATGATAAAATGGGATTGATAGTGAGATTTATTTAAAGAGTGAATAGTACAGTAGGCTATAATACCTAATCTAGTTTTTCTTTATTTTTATCACAGTTACATTTCTGCTTGCGTTAGTTATATTTTTGTTTAAATGTTTTTTATTTGATTAGTATGGTAAACCTTTTGAATGTTTAATAAATGTTTGTAAAACAAAATGCATTCTTTACATCCAACCTCTATTCTCTGTGTCTTTAAGTGTTTGAAACTGGAAATATCTCATCATAAAACATACAGCCAAAATGTTATGGTTTATTAGATAAAAAATTGAATATGTAAGTCTATTTTAGTATTTTGGTTATTGTTAATAAATAGCGCCTCAATATAAATCATATCAAAAAGCACAAAAGGAAGAGGAAACACAAGACACAAATTCTATATATAATCTCTGAGAGCACGCAGGAAAATGTGTGTGTAAGCAGTGCATATTTGAGAGCGAGAAAATTTGCGCGTGAGCAGCGTATATTTGAGAGCTCGCAAGCAGTTTTGTCCACAGAGGAAATCGGTGCACGAGCATCACACAAGGTAGAGAGCAAAGTTCTTCATTGTTATGTGAAGAAAACAACGTTATTGTTTGTATGAAGTAGCCTACTTCATTTAGAATATGTGCTACCATTTTACATTGCTGCTAGACAGATTTGCATCTTCATCTCTTTAGCACACACGAGATTCAATTGACAAAATACCAATTTCACTCAATTTTACTTTGCAGCATACAGGAGTTGTTGGTCTACTGCTGCCTCATTGAGGTTGTTTATGTAGTTTTAGTTAATCACAAGTTGATCACTGAAGACATGACATAGCACAACTAAACTTAATGAACTAGACAGCAGTAGACCTGCAATTTCTGTGTGATGTGAGGCAAAATAGACTCTTTTTTTGGTGGAACTCATTCTTGTGCAATAGGCTGTGTAGACGAGATATTTTATATATCTAAGCAATGTTCTTTCATTAAAAAAATGTTTGTTTAATAAATACAGATCTTACAGCCATACATAATCTGTTAAAATTTTATTTTTCTGTTAAAAAGACTCGAAAAGACTCGAAAATCAAACTATAGGACTTTGGACTTGACTTGAGACTTGTTGCATTTGACTTGGGACTTGACTCGGGACTTGCCTGTCTTGACTCGGGACTTGACTCGGGACTTGAGGGCAATGAATTGAGACTTACTTGTGACTTGCCAAACAATGACTTGGTCCCACCTCTGACTCAGACTAACATGGTAATGCCCATCACCCATCTATTAGGCTGTTTTAATGACAGAATACATGTTCTTACCATACCTGTCAACATTGGGATTTTAAAATAAGGGATATGACCACCATAA